CCTCTGCTCCTTTGAGAAAAATCAAGTTGAGAAACACAACTACACGGGAAGAGGGAGCATGCAGACCTTGGGCCTCCTTTTCAATGAAACACATTCTTTCCACTACTCTTATCCATACCCAATGCCTCCAGCCACTTGGGTGGACAAACTCGCCACAGAGGGCGATTGGGGATAGGACCCTCCTTCCAGAAACTACTGCCCAAAGAAGCACAAGAAAATTTTCTGTGCTCCAAGTTGAGGCAGGAGCCCAAATCGAGCCCCACAGAGAGTCACTTGGTGCCAAAAAGAACCCAATTGCACAACCACAGGCACACCAGTCAGGAGGTCAGGGAGGGCCAGAGGAAGGTGGTGCCCAGCATCTCTTAAGAGGAACCTGGCTGAGCAAGGAAAACATTCAGGATCATGCCCCCAATATTCATCTCTGTCACTTTCCTTCCATTCTAAAAGAAAGACGCGTTTGAAACAAACAAGCCAGCAAACCATGCCTAAGAGCCGTATCATCTCAGATTCACATTTCCCAACAGGCTTTCTAGTTCTCCACAAATAATATCCCCGCTCAGTCTGCTCCCCGCTCTAATAATTGGGGGAGGGGGTGAGCGATGTCTAGAGAGACTGGAGACATTCGATCAGAATTCAAGGCAGCTTCTCACAACTCTCTTGTTTATAGAAAATGAATGTCTGCCTGGCTTGCTTTTAGTTCTGGAAAGGGGTCAGTCTTTATCAGCACGGTTCACACAGATCCTGGATTTTTTTTCCCTTATCTTAAATTGACCCGCTTTTAAGATAAAGACATAATAGAGAAAGCATTGACCTTACCTGGTCCCTAATGAGTTGGAAGTCAGAAAACCCCGCTCTCATTTCCTCTTATCTCGAGTCGCCTGAGAAGAGACTCGCGCTACCTTTTGTGCACGCCTGGAGATAGCCCCTCACCGACGCGCTTACGCGGGGGAGCGCGCTCCCAGAGTGTGCGGCCCCAAAGTCTCAGAATTCCTGCCTGGGGTCTCAAGATCGGAGACCTCCACGCCAGCCCAGGCCTCACCCTGCCCCCAGGAGGATTTAAAATCCCTTGGAAGGCTCCCGAGCTTGTCTTCCCCTTTGAAAGGCCAAGTCCTAGGCGGTGAGAAGACCAGCCTCCCGCCAGGCCCGGGGCCTGGAGCGCGCGGGGCCTCCTCCGCCTCCAGGAGCAAGTGCTCCGAGCGAGAAATCGCGCCTTCGGCTCGGGCCTGGGTCTGATTTCACTCGCGGGCCCCAAGCTTCCTCCCTCGGGGCCAGCCCCTATCCCAGAGCCGCTGCCCCGGCTGCTGAGGCATTCCCTGCCCCCACCCGCCTCCCGGCCTTGAGGCTCCAGCTGTACCCACAAGTGTCTCTGTTGGGGGCGGCGGCAGCCCCGACTCCCCTCTGCCCAGCTCAGCGCATCTCTGTCCCGCTCTTCTCGCCTTCCCTGAACCCAGCCCAGTCCCGGCCTGGCCGACTGAGAGGGCGGCTTTCCTCCCTCCGCGACGCACAGCTCCGGGCTCCCAGGCTGGGGCGGGGGGTGGTGTGCTGCTTTGGGATGCTAAACATCAAACAAGCCAAGCCTGGGGTTTCAGGCCCCGAAGCCACTAGAGCCGCTCTCCAGGGCTCTCGAGAAAGTCCCCGTGTTTACTTGGCAGCATGGGGGTGGGGGAGAGGAGGAGGAGGATGCTATTCGCAAAATCTCCCCCACTCTCCGCAGCCCTGGGGGCTTGGGGATGGGTGGGGTGCTTGGGCGGGGGTGCTCAGCTTCTCTGGGATCTTGGAGAGAACTGCGCTGCCCCCCTACGTGGGGAAGCTTCTGACCCTTCCAGGACTTCACCGCCAGGTACATCCCCAAAAGGCTGATTTCTCCAGGCCAGAACCTGGGCCAGAGATGCTGGAAATCTAGGGGAGAAGAAATCCAGGAGAAGACAGACAATCGACTTCGCAGGGGGTCACCGAGATGTGGGGTGGGGACCGGCCCCAGGCTGAGGTCTTTTGATGCCTTCAGCGTGCACCTATTTCCTTATCAGAAAGCTTCAGCCTGCCTTCGAGGGCCGCTTCCTGAAGCTGCTACAATCTCCCAGCCAGAAGCTGGAGTTGGTGGAGCCCGGGTGATGGATGGAGAGAAGCGGCCAAGTCTCTGTTAGTCTCGGTCCCAACTGCAGACCCGGCTGAACTCACTTTCCTCCCCTTCCCCGCCCCCAACAAGTAAACAGACTTCAAACTAAGCCGGCTCTAGATGGCAGGGAGAAGAATGTATTTCATAAAACTCCATCCAGCCCAAGGGTGTTAAGGCCGAGGGTGCCACAACCCACTAAAATTGTGACTCTCAGGGTCTGGCTCTGAGCTAAGATGGGGGTGGGTGGGTGGGTGGGTGGGTGGGGAGACCGCCTTGTGGCTGATCGGAACCCGTGGGCCCATCGGCTCCAGATCAGACTGGTGCTGGGCCTGGGGCAGGTTAAGTGGAAGCTCCCATCGCCAGGGAACTGAGACCTTAGAGCAAACATCTCCCAGCCAAGCCCTGGTGGAGCTGTGATTTGATCACCTACATACCCTGTCCCAGGACCAGGGTTGCTCATTTCAACACAAGTGTTCAAACTTTACTGATTTTTGCTTGTTTTCCAAAATGTGAGGCCTGCTGAGATTTTCCCCAACCAGCACACTCTGTAGACCCAAGCTACCATCCTCAGATCTCTGAGTCTCTTCTGGGTATTGGAAACCATATCTCAGCAGCCAGATCCCTGGGGAAGAAGCCCACCCTGGCCCCTACTTCTAAGGCACCAGGGGCGAGGAGCCTTTAGAAAGTCAACAAAGAGGGATTGCTGGTCTGGAGCAAGGCCTTGGCCTGGGCAATTTCCCTCACAAGTTCCTAGGGGTGGGATTAGGTGAAAGTTGGGTGAAAAGAGAGATGGAGAACAGAATAAGATGAAAAGAGAGGAAGAAAAATGAAGAGAGGCAAGAAAGGAAAAAGAAAGATGAAATTCTAGGCATGAAGCGAGTACATGCCAAGTATGAATCAATCCCACACAAACACTTTCAGGCTAAGGGGGACCCACTCGGCCACTTTTGCTAGGTAGGTATATCGAGGGTGACACGGAGCGGGCAACAACCCATCTAGGGACTATGATTTCTTTCTGTCCAGAACCACTCCTTCCTCCTCTCCTCCCCAGGGCAACCCTGAGAGTTCCCCAACAACCACCTCTAGGCACCAAAGAGACCGGGAAATTTGAAGTGAGGAAGAAAGATCGAAGATGATTTCTTTTTGCTGGCGTGGCAGGGTGGCTGGGGCAGCGAGAAGTAGGGAGCTGGGAACAGGAGAAAGATTCCTTACTACGAAGATACTTAGGAGCCCCGAGATGGAAACCGATGGAACAAAGAGAGAAGCCCAGGTTCCAAAGTCCTGCTTTCGGTGGCCCCAGGCCAGTAGCCAAGTCAAAAAATATCCCAAGGCCGGAAAGACCCTGAGAGGCTGGGGATCCATGTGTAGCCTTGTTTGTGAATAGCAGTTTTAGACTGGAAATGAGACCCAGATAGACTTCCCCACGTTTGAAAACAGCCTCCCACAGAAATTCTAATTCCGATGAGGCTCTGCAGCAGATTAGAAATAAGGATTGGTGTTGAAATCTATAGGGACCATCCATCTGTTCAGTAAAAATGGTCCCTCATTCAGGATTATTTAAAATGTATGTTACTTAAAACATTTTAAAGTTTTAATTGTTGACTAAGCTGCATAAGACCTCAGTAGACACTTCTGAGGTTTTTTGTTTTTTTTTTTTTAAAAAGAGCCTGGCTCTGAAAACTAGTCATTTGGTCTCTTTCTCTTCTGTTCTCCTTTTCCTTCCTGATGGAAGCAGTTTACCTTTTACCCCCTCCCTATTGCCAAGATTCAGGGCTGCTCAAGGTTTGGTTCTACTCAATTTGGAGACAGAACAAAGCTCCATTTCCCTGTGGGACAAGGACTCTGGGCCCAGCTCCTTAGCTGGTTTAGGATCCTTTCAGCTCCCAAACAATTCCAATCCCATCAGGCCAATGATGAGCCACCCCCCCCCACACACACACACCACCAAAAATGCCTTTTAAAGCCAAATCAAAATGAAACAAAAGGTGGACTTTTAATCAGAAAAAGAATCCTTTTAATTTGTATAATTTATTAGAAGCTTCTTAGGAACTATATTTAAGCCAGATATCTACATAAGTTACAACAGAAAAAGACTGACGCTGCAAATACCAAACTGCCAAATAATATACACAGATTTGTCAACGCCCATAAAAAATATGATGGGCTAGGGATGGGGACTGGGTTTGTTTGTTTTTTTTTTTACAACAAAATGTACAGATTACTAAAAACTAGGTGTGTAGTCCAACTTTTGACAGCGTTTTACAGCTACAAGTTCACATCAAACATAAAACAATTTTAGCCAGGGCTCTTCCCGGGGCTGAGCCTGGGCGGCCAGAGGGCGCTGGGAGGGGGCATTTTCCTTTGTGTCAATGACATGTGGGTCCCATCGTGGAGTCTTTCCTCTCCCCAGCCCCCATCTCCCCTTCAAAAGAAATCCTGGTATTTACAAGCGAGTCCGCCTTGCTGGCACAGTGTACCCAGAGTGAAGTTTGCGATCTTTAAGAGTCCAGAGCCGTATCATCGTAGAGCCCTCTCCAAACTGCACCCTGCCTGAGCGAGGGAAACCCAGTTCCATCACCTAAAAGACACCCCCAGAAGCTGTTTTTGTTATGTCCTTCTCTGTTTAAAGACTCCTTAAAGAATTGGATTCACTTGGTTGCTTTTGTTTTCTTTTTTTAAAAAAAAATTCCCACAAATTTTAGAAAAAAAAAAAAAAGACGTCCAGCAGTTTGGCTTTTGTGATTTTTTTTCCCCCTTGGTCTAAACGGGACAGATTCTTAAGAAAAGTCGAAGCGCAGGGAGCGGCGAGTGGTTGGTGACGTGTGGCCGGCAGGAGGGAAAGCGATGAGGCAGCGCGCTGGGCCCGGCCCGGCCCGGTGTCCTCTCACCAGGTCCGACCATATAGCAAGGTGGAGCAGGACATGGTGCCATAGTCCGAGCCCGAGGAGTTCAGGTGGGACAGGCTGGAGACCTGGCCCTGGAGCGCCGCGGGGCTGGCGGCGTGGTGCGCCAGGTCCGGAGACTGGCCCGCGCTGCCCGGCTGGTGGCCCGGGTGTGCCCCCAGGCCGGGGCCCCCGCTGCCCACCGAGATAGCCGCCGCGGCCGCCTGGGCAGCCTGCGCCTGCTGCTGCGCCTGCTGCTGCGCGTGGCCTTGAAGGCTGCCGGCCCCCGGCGCGGGGGCGCCCGCCTGGCAGGGTTTGCCGTCTTTCACCAGCACCGGCACGGCCACGCGGCGCGGCGACTGCTGCTGCGCCTGCTGCTGCTGCGGGCACCCGGCGCCCCCGCCGCCGCCGCCGCCGCCGCTGTCCTGCTGCAGTTGCTGCTGCGCCGCCTTGTCCTTGGCTTGGCGCTTCATCTTGTAGCGGTGGTTCTGGAACCAGATTTTGACCTGCGTGGGCGTCAGGTGGATCATGCTGGCCAGGTGCTCCCGCTCCGGCGCCGACAGGTACTTCTGTTGCTTGAAGCGTCGCTCCAGCTCGTACACCTGCGCCTGGGAGAAGAGCACCCGGCGCTTCCGGCGCGGTGCGCTTGGCAGCGGGGCCATGTTCTTGCTCACGTCCCCCAGAGAGCCCAGGCCGCCCATGCCGCTCATGTTCATGCCGCTCGCCGGGCCCATGAAGCGGGAGACTGTAAGCGACAAACGCACAGCGTCGGCGGGGGCCGGGCCGGGCCGGGCCACCTCTGCCTTCCGCGCCCTTGGCCGGCCCGGCCCCCGCCGACGGCGCCCCGCTCGCCTAGGCCGCCTGGGCCGGGCGAGGCCTACGCACCGCAGACGGCGCCTGCCCCAGGCCGCGCCGTCGAGGGATTTCCTGGCGGGCTCCCCGCCTGCACCCCGCTTGCCTCCCTCCATCTCAGCGCTCCAGCCCACCAGCCAGGGAGGGAGGCCGCTTCTGATCCTTTCTTGCCCAGCCCTGGCCAGAGTCGTTGGGTTAGCGGGCCCCAAGCGGCGCACTGGGCCCAGACCAAGAGCCGGGGTCCCACGGCAGACCCCGACTTTTGGAGTTTGGGAGAGTGGGGTGTTCACTTTCAAAACCTAGAGCCGCCGACGCTTTGCCTCCTGGCCGCTCTCTCCTGTCAGCCCCAGGGCGGGCACTTGTGCCGCCTGCTTGGAGCCCCTCTGAAGCCGCGCGCCCTGGCACCTGCCTAGGCTGCAGAGCCGGCCGGGCGTCCCCGAGCGTGTCTCAGTGGGGCAGCCTCCCGCCCGGCCGGCCCGCCTCTCGGCTCCCTGCTAGCCCCCGGCTCCCTTAGTCTTCTGGGGGGGGGGGCGGGCGGGAGGGCGATCCCTCGGCTCTCCGAGGTCTCCTGCGCCGAGCGGAGCCGAGCTGCCAGTCGGCCGCATCTGGGAGACGCCGAACACTAGCACCTGCCCGCAAGACCCCAAGTGTCCCGCCTGGGACCCCTCAGGCCAGCAGCGGGAAGAACCCCCAGCTCCCGCCCCCGGCTCCCTGGCGCGGCTGCCGGGCCGGCCGCCCGGACGCCCGGTGCGCAGCCGGAGGCGCGGCGCCCTCGGGGCTGCTCTCCCGGCGCCTCCCGCCCCCAGCCCGCGGCCCGGCGGTGGGGCGGCCTCACTTACTGGCGGGGAAGCGCGGGTCTGGGTTGGCGCCGTACCATCCGGGGCCCGAGGCGCTGTTCCGCATGGTGTCCTGGTAGGGCGGCAGCTCGCTCATGTTGCCCAGGTTGCCGTTGCAGTAGCCCCCCACGGCGGAGTGCGAGAGCTGGGGCACCCCCGCCGCCGTCATGTGGTAGGCGGCGGTGACGGCGCCGTGGTGCCCCACGGCGTGCTGCTGCATGGCCGCGGCCGGCGGAGCCGCCTGGCCCTGCCTGTAAGCCGCCAGCGGAGCCCCGAGGCCGCCGCCCTCCATGCCCACTTTCTTGTAGCTTTCCTCCAGGGGACTCAAGATGTCAGACACTGAGAACGGAGTCGTGTGCTTTGGACTCATCGACATGATTCGGCGGCGGCTGGAGGAGGAAGGAAGAGGAGGAAAAAAAAGGGAGAGGGGGAAGGCGAAGCCTCGCTGCTTTTTTTTTCTCCCTTTGCCAAATATTCTGGTGTTACCTTAACGCCGATCTTGTTGGATGTACACGTAACCGAGTGGACCGAGTCCGCCTTAATTGGCTTGAGTGGAGGCTCGGGGGCTGCCTCGCGTTTGTTTTAGCCCGGCGCCAGGTTTTAGGCAGCCACCAGAGGCGGGGCGTAAGCGCTAAAGCAACAAGACAATAGAAGCCTACATCTTGCCCGAGATAATTAGCTTACATGCTGATGACAAGGTAAACACCTTTAAGTTTCACTTGTCAGGATTTTTAAGTCTCAAAAAGGGAGAGAGAGAGAGAGAGAGAGAGGAGAGAGAGAGGAGAGAGAGAGAGAGAGAGGCAGAGACGCGACCCAAAGCATTTCTTTTCCCCCTCCCCCGGACACCCCCACCCCATTTTTTGTGGGGTGCGGGCGGCGCGCAGGGGGTGGGGGGAGACGGGGGAGGGAAAGGAGGAGGGAACCCAGGGAGGGGAGGGCAAGAGGTGGGGTGAGGAGTAGCCGAGGAGGAGGGATGGTGGGGAGGAAGGAAGGTGAATGCTGCTTTGCAACCAACTTTCCGAGTTACAAAGTGAACCACTCTCCAGTGCAGCCGGGGTTCCCGGGCGGGGACAAGTCTTTAGAGGGAGGGGGCCAAGGGACGGGGTAGGGGTTTCACCTGAGCCTGCTGGGGCTGCTCCTCCCTCCCGCCGCGGCCTCCCAGCCCCGCGCCTTCCCACTGCCTCCGGACCACATCGGGCTTCGAGGCGCCGAGCCCCAGTCGCCACCAAACGAGCTCGCGAGTCTGGGGACGAACCCTGGGGCCGCACTGTTGGTCTGCGGGTCTGTCCGTCTGTCTGCCTCTTCTGCCGCCGTCAGAGGGACACCTCTGCTCCCCGCCCCCTTTCCCCCTACCCGAGAGAGAATCCCAGCGGGCGGAGGGGACGCTGAGCAAGGGATCGGCTGCCTCCGAGAGGCTGTCCCAGATCCCCGCGTCCCCCTCCCCCCACCTCAGGGTCTTCTCAGCGGTCCAGGGCCCCCTGCATCACGCCCCCCCCCACCCCACACGCGGTTCCCTTTCCCCACCCCCATTCCCGGCCAAGGCAAGCACGCTACTGGCCTCCAGTGCTGGGAAGCTGGGGGTGGGGGTGGGGGCACTAACCCAGGGCCATTGCTGAAATTGCCCCACCTCGAACAAACCTGGTGTCCCCGACCCTCGCCCATCGCCCGGACACGCGGGGTTCTGGGGCTGGAGCTGACTTTCCGAGGACATCACAGCCCCAGCACCCGAGCCCAGAGCCACGCTGTTTCCCCCTCTGATGCTTCAGGGAGGGCGCGGGCAGGGAGCGTCGTGAGTACCCGCCCGCCTGTTGCCGGGCGGAACTGAGCCTGAGCCCCGGCGGGACCAGCTGGCCGGGAGGGGGCGAATCCCGAGGCGCGAGCAGCCCAGCGGGCGGGAGGCTGGGCTGAGGCTCGCCTCCGCCCGGAGCTCAGCCATGCAAAAGTGCACTTGCTTCCCCGGGAATAACCAAATATCTTTGTTTAAAGTGGCGGCGTAAATGGCCAGTCGCTTTGTGGCCGCGCTGGATATTAGTAGATGAGGATCATTCTGCTTCAATTGGGCGCCTCTCATCCGGCGAGCAAGAAACTGCTTAGGAGGAAGTGGGTTTCCTGTCTGCGCGTTCCCAGGCTTCAAGTGTGAGCCCCGCGCCTTGAGGGTCCTTGGGCGCCTGGAGAGGGGGAGCTGTGGGCTTTCGCTCCCCAGCCGGGCGAGAGGCACCCGCGGTGCTGCTCCGGCCAGGCCCCGGGCCTCCAGCCCAGCGAACTACGTCGTCGCGCCCTGCGTGGCGCAGAGATCCCGAGACCCACTTCGACTTTCCTTCCTTGGATTCTAAATCTTTTGCAGTTTGGGTTCGGTTTTTGAGTTCTTTTAGCCTCCTCTCTGCGCTAGGGGCTGGGAGGGTGGAGCTCTCCCTGGCCAGGCTAGGGCCTCCAAGACACTGCGGGCACCAGTTAAGGAGGCTTCTCGAATTTGTTTTCTGTTTTCACGTTTTGCTTCCCCTCCTTGTAGAGAAGGAGCTCCCAATGATGAACAGACACTTTTGTGAACGATTTAATTCCGATTAGGCACTTTTTTCATTAACAGTGGTTGCAGTAAGGAAAGTTGTTTTAATAGCTTTTTACTTTAACATTTCAGTTGTCTCCTCGAGAAGTGCCCTGTACTCCCGCATTACAAAGCCAACTTCTATACTAACATGCACGTTGCTCACCACCTCGGTCGCTTATGAGGACAGAGAAAGCCCAGGGCACCTCCTTCCTCCCGCTGGACCCACGTTTTCAGGCAGCTCCCTCGTTGGCTTTGGGGCAGATAACCCTGCATCTGAGCACAGAGACCTGCCTGTCGGTTGTACTGGAAAAGACTAGCACCAAACTGGTTCCTTGCCCTTTTACCAAGGGGCTCCTGTGGACCGCGCTCTCAGGATGATTCAGGAGCGGTCATCTGAGCTTGCAGTTGTGAGGATGTGAGGTCTGAGCCCAGGGAGCAAGGAGGGGAGAGGACGCTGGGCTCAAGTGAACCGTGGAGAGCGGTCCAAAGGGAATACAGATCCCGTCTGCAGGCAGCCCTGGCCCCCGGGCTTGTTCTTTGACTGGGGTCTTAATGATAAGGCGGGTGGGTTTCCCGGTCTCCCGTCTTCTTCCTCTTTCTCCCTCTCCGTTATTTCATAGTATTGGTAAGTATAAGAAACACCATGTATAGATTGCCGTACCTGTCGCCCAGTCTCGATACCACTTAGAAATGGAGGGAATTCTTCACGAGATTTCTCTGAGATTCAAATAAGATCAGACACATAAAAACACTTTGAAAGCTTTGGAAAAATTTTAATTTTCATTGCCAGAGCTCGAGATTTCTGTATTGTCCTCATTAGCACAGCCTCCCCCACCCCCACCCTGCCTTTAAGGCCTTGAATCTAAGTGGAGGATAGAGTTAGGTGCATCTTCCACAGTCCCTGAGCCTCGGCCTTCGTCCCTCGGCAGCTTTCCAGCCCCGTGGCAGGCTCCGGGTGCACGTGGCTAGCAGCTCCCCATCCCCACCCACACCACACCCACACCCACACCTCCACCCCCACCGCCAGCCTGGCAGACCTGGCCGTGACCCCCAGCTCCGCCGCAGGCGTTTGAGTCTCAGGCTTAGAGCAGAAGCCCTAGCTGGGGTTGGGGGGGGGGCGGCACCCGGCTGTGGCTGCTGCTCCACCCAAACCCCCTCCCCACCCTCTGCAACCAAGATTATGCTGCAACCTCCCACGGCAGGCACGCGCACCGACCGCTCTGGACTAGACCGTGTCTGGGCCTTTGCGTCACCTGCCACCCCCCTCACCCCCGCAGCACCTCTTTTATCTCTACCCCTTTCTCTCTCTCTCTCTCTCTCTCTCTGTCTCTCATACACACACACACACACACACACACACACACACACACCGTCCCACACTATTCGCCAGATGTGCTGCACTGCCAAGAAGAATAAGCCTGAAGACTAAGACGTCTAGCCCGGCAGGTGGGGGGAGGACTACTATCTCTCTCTGAGCTTGTCCAAGCAGAGGCCTTGAGGGTCCCTCCCCTGGCCCCAACACCTCTTCCTAAACAGAGTGTCCTTTCTTTTAGTTGCTTCCAGGAGTCATCTTAAGTAGGGTGACCCCAGTTAAACTAGTTAACTTCTTCATGATTGCAGGGAATACTTGGAAATCATGAGTTCCCCTCATAGGAGTCTGGTGTCTTGAGTAACTCTCCCTGGTGGAGTGGCTCAGGGGTTTCCAGTTTGAGCTTCTCAAGGAGCTTTCCCTGGTGGGGCCACACCCGGCCACCTTAATCCTGGCCACACTGCTTTGCTTTCTGCAGCTTGGCCTGGAATCCAAGGAGCCCCAGAGGCTCAGGCTAAAGCCCAGGCCAGGCTCAGGCTACCAGGAACTGCCATCAACCTTTGTTCACCACTCGTGTGGCCAAAAGGAAACACCTTTCTGTCCCTCCAGAGTCCCTTCTCTGAGAATTTAGAACAGAAGGCTCATACAGAAGGCTGTATGACCCAGGGTCTGTAGTTTGGGCTGCATGAGGAATGAAAAAGTCCTCCCCAGTCCTCACCACCACATTTTTCTAATTCTCTTCATGGTCCTTCACACCTCTTCTAGGACGGCAAGAGATTGTGTTGTTATTTTGCTCCGAGTTTTTTCGCAATTCGTGATTTATTCAACAAATATTTATTGAGTGCTGGCTCTCTTCCAGACTCTGTGCTGGGCCTAAAAATTCAGCTTTACTTGTTTTTAAAGATTTTATTTATTTATTCATAGACACACAGAGAGAGGCAGAGGGAGAAGTAGGCTCCATGCAGGGAGCCCGATGTGGGACTCTATCTTGGGTCTCCAAGATCACACCTCAGGCTGCAGGCGGGCCCCAAACCGCTGCGCCACCGGGGCTGCCCTAAAAATTCAGCTTTAAACCAGCTAGATGTGTCTCCTACACACACAGAGCTTATAAATTAACAATAAATCACCCAAATAATATGCATGTAGTTACTTTGTCGCGACATTACTCTGGCAGAGATAGAGAAGGTGTGTGTGGAGGGGGTGCAGGGGTGTTTGGCAGGGATTGGGGAAGTTCTTCACCATTCCTGTTCTTAAAGTGCTCACGGGTGGTAGGCAGAGCACTTGAGTAGAAGTCAGAAGTCCCAGGGTTCAAGCCCTGGCTTTACCATGTTTCAGTTATGTGGAATAGTTTTCCCGGGACTTACAACATACCCTGGAGCCCCTCCCATCACAGCCAGGGTAAACTAAGGTATTGTTTACTGGCCTCCCTTCTTTAGGGTGAGAACCCATTTTATTTATCCTTGAATCTTCCCGTGCCTCAGGAAAAGTTGAATTACAGAAACAAAGCCTCTTGGCACCTGATTTCTGAGAGGCAAAAAATGGTCATAATCTCCTTTGTGTACCTTCCAGGTTGTACGAGGGAGTCCGAGTATTAAAGGATGAGATTGTGTGTGTGAGTTTGTAAAGCATAAAAATCGCTAGCACATGGAAGGAGTTCTAAATCTTGAGTTTATAGAAACTGTGATCCAGGCCTCTAATTCTGCATGAAACTCTGGGCCGTTGGCTGTTCCTGCATCCAGGCCGGCGGTGAGCTAGCCTTCTGCAGCCAGGGGCAGCCCCCCACCCCCCACACACACCGGGCCTAGCTGAGCTGGGCTCCCGGATGCGGTGCCGTCGAGGCAACGCCACTCTGGGAGAGAAAAAGAGGAACGCAGCCCGGCGCGGGGGGCGGGCGCTGCTCCCCAATTCCGAGATCCAAGGAACAGAGAGAGTCCAGAGCCCCCTCCGGAGGGCGTCTTTCTCTCCCTGAAGGATCTCACCGGAACCCGCCGTGCCTTTTTCTCAGGCAGCCGAATCGAGAGCCCCTGAAGATGCGCGCGACCCGGCGGTCTGCAGCTGTCACCAGGAGGCTTTCGCAGGCTCGGTTCCAGGGACAGGTTCCGAGCTGAGGCGCGCTCCCTCTACTGCTCGGGGCTTGGCTCCAGCGTCTGGGGTCTTTGAGGGCCGCCTTCCTATTGGCAGGCCCTGGGGGCGGGGGCGGGAGGCGACCCTAGGACGTCTGAGAGCAGGGCTCCAGCGTCGCCCTCTCCCAGCGCTGGCGCGCTCCCCGGGGCGGAGTGGCCCAGAGGTCGTGAGTGCGAAGGCCAGAGTCCGCCCGGGGAGGAGCAGAGTCCACTCTCC